GGTTAGCGATCAGAAAGGCTACTGCGATTAAACAAGTATATCAGGTGTGTGCCACGCAAGTACAAGGTTGCTACCTGTAGAGAGAGAGAGACGCGTGGCATGCGATGTCTAAGATATGGGGATAGGGATGTTTTTTTCAGTTTAATTGGTTAACATCACACAGAGTTCAACTTTCTTCTAACTACACGCGTTGTCTCTTACGGGTTGGATTGTTTGGCCACCCAACGTCACAGACTACGCTACATCTGCACAAGTGTCGCACCTGGATTGTTTGTCCAGGTGCATTTCAGGAATATCACCCCCTAAAACTGCGATCGGACGCAGGAAAACCTTTGTGGTTGAAGACTCAAGATCACGAGACGGCTCAAGTGGTCAGAAGGGTCGCAAATCAAGGTCTATATTCACAGCGGTCTGGGGTTAGTGTGATAAGATCACACTAACGCCAGATCGTTGGGTGAAAAATTTCCACACCGAGATCGAGCCTCAATCACATCGCAGACACGGTCAAATTTGTCATCGAAACGAGTCCACCTAGAAGAGTGCAACTTACCCTACCGACGGGTACACAAGTAGATGAAGGCTATCAAGTGCACGGAATCGTAGAACCCCCTCCGTTAATCGGTCGTCCGGGCGCCACTGGAAAATTGGGATCGACTCCTCAAAAGAGCAATCACCACTCCACCACACTCTCCTTGCGTCAAGTAGACAAATATCTACTTCGGAAGAGAAGTCGAGACGTGAGCTTTGAAGCAAATTGAACTTTGTTTATTAAATAAATAATAAAACCAAACCTACCACTATTCTTACTAGGGGCGCCGTACCTGCTATCGTAATCTTGCACGACGTGTCCCAGTTCATGTACTCTTATAAATCACGGGTCGCAGATCGCGTGGTGTGGACCACACATAAGTAATCGCGGTTGCGCGGTTCATTGTACACCCACCTGGTTGCGATCGCGTTCTCTCTCGCAGGTTTCATCCCATATCGCGATCTGTATCCAGATCGTGTTCGTGTGGGGTAGTGTACACCCACCTGATCGCGAATTCGTTCCCAATCGTTATTGTGCACTGGATAGTGAGAACTTACCATGACCGCGATCGTTTATTGTGGTACAAATCGGAAGGCTTGCAATAACCTTTGATTGCAATCGTTTCCATGATCCTGATCGCGTACATGATCGCGATATTCTCCGTGGCGGCGTATGGCGTAGAATAATCCTCATCCTTATCCTTAAACCGTTCGTCGAATCAGGAACGAATGTCCTGTTGTGTCAATCTTTTTCATAAGTTAAACTTATGTAACGAGACTATGCGGCCGTTTCCGCCGATCATTCGCTGGCCCGTACTTAGCCGGATCCCGATCGGTCTTCCTGTCTTAAATCGCTTGATTAATTCACCATAACTGCAGCATCCTTGGTTCCACCAAACAGAATCGGCAGTATATGGTGCGGTGGCCGCGAAAATTATTCATATACCAATTTCCAAGGCAATCTTTGGCGTCATTGGACGCTTTACATTTAAGAGAATAACCCAGACTCCTTCAATAACGTCAATTGGTGAGTTGTTTACCGCATCCTTGCGTGATTGATGGTTTAGAGCCTGCTTACATTGCGCGCAAGCTAGACAATTTTCACGCTCCAATTCAGTGAGGACAATTATGGTAGCATGAGACTTAGCCATGCGCGGTATTTGTCGTAGGTTAAACATACTAAACGACGGTGAAGTTGATCAACGTTCATTGCTGCACGTCTTCATCCACCTCTACCTCTTTTTAGGCCAACACGGGCATCAATATTTCTTCTACACTCTTTGCGTTATCGCATCCCAGTATACGCACGACTAGAGCATAATTAGAGATATCTACATACAAAACAGCGACCCCGCCATGTAGACCGGCAATCATACAATACTATCCGCGATGGGAGATACCATGCCCTTTGGTCTCAAGTAGACCATAAAAATATTCCTCATCAAGCTCTTGGCGAAGTATACATCGAGCAGTTTCGCCTTGGCAGTATTTATTAAAACCGTCACACTTATCAGCACAGTGACACTTATCAGCACATACCACGCTTTTACAGAAGCAGTGCTCCTCCATCAGCGGTGATACATTCGATACGATAATCTCCCGCGTTTCCCAGTAAGGCAGCTTCGTTGAGGTGATGGCGGCTTGGGATGCTGTATAAAACACATAGACCTTCTTAAGCGCTATCCCCTCGTGCAGCAAGTCTATATCAGCATCTGCGGACTAATCAAAATCTATTTTATTATCAGGACACACCAACTTGATGTATTCCGCTTTTGCACTCTTGCAATACTTGCGCCCATCTGACTTTCCAGCCTGTAAGTTGCTGACAATACCTCGACCCAATCTCCTTATAAAATCAATTTCTGTTGACGGCACGAAATGGAATAACTCCTCCGCCTGCCGAAGAATGTCAGTGCGCATAATACTTTATATCACCAGCATCAAAATTCATATTCCCGGGTTGAAAGAGTGCACAAGATTATCCTGCACAAGATTGTTGGCGCCGCCGCAATCCTCACTTACTGCTACAAGGTACAGATAGTGCCCTAGTCATTATCTACTCGCACTCATGGGCCCTGTAAAAAGTTTCATACTTTGTGCACGCGTGATCTCGGTCGCAAAGGTGTGCAGCACCCTCTACACAGCATGCTCCAGTGTCAAATGCTCCTCACACCAGCCTTCAACATGACTGTTGTAGTAACACGCAGCTACTACGGTCAGGTGGTGACCGAAAATATCAGCATTTATGTCTTCGATCCACTGAAAACTGCACGCCTTTTCACCAAGTCAGATCTGCCGTAAAAATCGATACCCTAGAAATAAGAATTCGCTTCCTAACCCTCGATACAATTCTTTACCGTCAAAAGTACGTATACCCATCTTTCGCTGGCGAGTGTCCGGAACACAATCTAGATAAGTCTTGGGCGCAGACTACCGTGTGGCGGATGAGCGGTACAAGTGTGGCGGCTGATAATGCTGGGGTAGGATAGGCTGCGGAGCCTGAGCTTTTATCTCGTTTAAAGCAGCATCAACTATTCCACGCTGGTGCGCGCTAAAGTACGTTTTTGGCGACATTGCTGGATACACACGCCTAGGTAGTGTTACGTTAAGCGCCTCTATGACCATAGCCCTGCCCCGAGACAGCATTGACCGGAACACGCTATGTTCATGGGTGTACACGCTCCTTCTCCTCTTTTGAAGCCTCCATACACTATATGCGCTTGTTAAGGCCCATGTGGAGTTCCAGGAGATTCTCTTGCTTGTCCCCTGAGTCTGCCTTGACATATACATTCGCTCCTTGGGCGCTGGCCTTTTCGCGACCGTCATGTGCCCTTAGTTGCTGTCAACCTTCGCCGGCAGAAGCCCTATTGTATATTTGACTCCTAACTTGTTACTTATAAAGAGGCTTGAGGAGCAAAACTAGATGTGCTTATTTTAAATAAGCGTTTTCTTACTGCATGACTGAGTAAACTCACAATCAAACATGATAAATCTCTATAAATGCACCTTCGAAGAGTGGGCGACTGATACCGATTTTTAGCCCACCTCAGCCAGTATCAAGTAGTCCGAAGGTCATGTGTATACCAACAGTTCGATGATGCATCCACTATCAGGGTACCTCTAGTAGGTTGCTATAAATTATACTGCGATTGCGAAAAAATCTACACACGATTGACCACCACATATTCGAACACGTTCAAGTTCAACATCGACGCAAGTCCACAGCGAAGAGCGAAACCCACCCTGTCGATGGGCACACAAGATGGGGAATGAAGTATACATGGTATCGGAGTACCCCCTCCGGTAGCTGGTCTTCTGTGCGCCAGCGGATAGTTGGGATTGCAATAATTCTATAAACACCACTTCACAACGCGAGCGTAGCAGCAGGCACTTCATACCGTCCAAAGATCTGGCAATGAAGTGCTCCACGGACATGATACATCCAGGTGCGTTATAGCTATCGTCGCTTGTTTCATTTGTGTATTCTCGGCCATTTGACGTATGTTTAAGCATTGCAGCGCAAAATTTTGACAGGACCACAAGCGCCCGAGAACGCTTGGTGCTATTACTTAGTTCAAAGTGCTTAACTCCATTTTGTGCTGACTGATTTGCAGCCAGTAGTAGCGAAGTCGCAGGTTGAGCTTAATAAAAGGCGAATTTTATGGATTTATCGCATACAACATGCATCAGCTAGTCTTCTCGACTCAAGTGCGGCGATGATGTGCTAATGTGCTGCGATCGTTGTCCCGATTAACGTCGTCGTTATCAGGCAGTCACTTCAGTAGGGCTCTTGGTTGCGCTGCTGAAAGCGGATCAGCTGTGTATCACCCAGCGCTGACGCTTATGGCGAGATACTCATAGTTCAAGTTACAATTCAGGTGTACATACGTGCCAGAGCTGCTTCTGGATTGAAGCTGTCGACGTTACAGTTTACATGGCGCAGGCAGGTGTTACCTTTACAACAATAGCATGTTTAAGTCGCGCAAAACCGATAGCATGCACCGTTCGCCCGATCGAAATCTTCGAGTATCGAAAGGATAAACTGGCTGTTTGCACGCACAGGAGAACTCGACTCATGTCGTCCAAGCATCTGTTTCAGCTATTTTCTTCACGCAAGTTCCGGAACGGCGACTACTATACTGTACGACAGTGTTGCCCACTCTCCACATCATTGGTGCTCTTGATCCCTCCTCAACGAGATAGCCACTCGAACGGTTCAAAGAGGACTGGTATGTGGTGCACACTCCAAGAAGTTCCGCAGTCGAGCACAACACCATAGCGCAGCGACGAGCGGCAGATCTGGAGATTTGGACGTGCTGCAGGTGCGTCAAAGTGGACGTCTCTCTCACCACGTCTTCAATGATAGAGTGACAGAGCTGTCCATGACTGAGTGCTACTGACTGACGTTTACTCCTATGCTCTGGCGCTCGATTGATCCATGTCGGAAGCCGTCGGCATCAGGCGGCGGAGTCATGACCAAAGAACGGATCAGTTTGGCGGAGCTGGCGCAGCGCAAGGAAGAGTACTACGGTGCGAGGAGAAATGACGGGTCCAATACGCAATTACGGGGCAACAACCAGAACCTGACCTGCAATTTCGTCGTCTTGTTTTCTCATACTTGCTTCTTACCCGTAGAGCTCCTGGAGACCAGTGACGACTCGCTCCGACGTGTTTTGAACCAAAGGGGTGGACTAGTACTTGCTCGCGTTGGCCGCTATCAGCCCTGGCCGGCAAGGGTACATACCTCATCAGGAACTTGCGTGGCTGGGTAAAGCAATTGACGTTATCTGTGCTTGATGGTCTGCAGTTTAGCGAGCCGGGCGAATTTGCCAAGATGGCACGATATCGAGCTAAAAAGGGACAGGCTTGCGTCTATTTCTTCGGCAGCAGGAACTAGTACGAGCACTTGAGTTCATTTATCGAGGGCGAGTAGCAATTTGACCGACATACCGGGTTTTTCGTGCTTTTGCCAACATTTGCAGTGGGTGGGTCTCCAAGTCGTCAATTCAGCCGTTCCCGAAAGATCTCACTACGCTCACGGCTTCGAATAAATACAATCAGCATCTCATTCAAGAAGCCCTCGACGAAGCGAAGCTGGTCATGGACGTGACTGACGAAACGGGTAAATGCTTCTTCGACCGCATGTGCGTTACGACCACTACTGTATTCATTTGCATCCAAGATATTGCCAGGTACTTATTTTGTTATCAATAGCATGGAACGCAAGAACGAAGTGGTGGACTTGCCATGCGAACGCTGCAACCGGGTAGATGACCACTACTCGCTTCTCATTTTGTGCGACGGGAAAAAGTGCAAGCGAGAATATCACATGAACTGTTTGATCCCTCCGTTGGTGGCAGTCCCACCCGGCGAGTGGTTTTGCCCAGACTGCCAAAAGGAACGTGAAAGAGAACGCGAAAAAGGCGAGCTAATGCGTGCAAAGGTGGATGGACTGGATAAGCAAGAGTCCGGAATTACAGGAGTGAATGCAGTCGATGAAAGTATGAGAGCAGTCAAAATCGCGCTCGCACAGAAAACGAAAAAGTACAAACACAAGTCGAGAGATGGCATTGTGAAGCGCCGCCTTGGTTCTGCTTCTCCAGACAGAACTCGTGGCTCTGTCAAAAAGCCACGGGCTCGACGTTCATCGTCTCAAGAGGTCTCGCCGCCACCGAGAAAGGATTCGAGAAAGGATGTGACACTTTCCAAAAAGCTGGACGGACGAAAGAAGAAAGCATCTCAAAGTGTGGTACCCACCGGCAGGGCTCAGCTTTTGTTTGACCCAGAATGCAACACAGCTGGTGAAGGACAGCGGTCTGAGGAGAAGTGTATGCTTTGCGGCTTCGGAGGAGAAGTTATTGTGTGCGAGTTTACTGGGTGCACTAAGGTCTACCACCGATTTTGTTTGGGCGCTTACCCCTTCCCAAACGATGAAGGCGCGACTTGGTATTGCCCTCGACACACTTGCGCTCTAACAGGGGAGAAGGAAACATGTGAGGACAGTGAGAAGGCAACACATAAGGTGAAGTGTACTTCACCGCGGAAGAGTACCATGAAAGTTTGTCTATGGAAGTGCATTCGGTGTCCTCTCGCGATATCGAACGAAGTCCTTCCACAGGTATGTATGCATAACTAGACATGCATGTGTCATCGTGTAATGCTCACCACACTCTTTTGTCATCGGTAGCTGCCGCAAAAACAGATCTTCTCGAAGAAGTCGCGGTCGTTTGTCTGTCCGTATTGCTACGTCAATGCGCCTCCCAAGGTCCAGCTCGCAAAAAGACTGGAAAAGATTTGGTCAACTCTGGCCACAAATCGGCAAGGAATGCCGTTTTGTGGTCCGTTGTTGTGTGGAGTCGAGCCGGTAGACGGGCGGTTAGAGGATAGCAGAGCACGATTGGATTTATTCAAGGTGCTTGCACGAATCCGGAAATTGGAATATGAGGACTCGGTGGCATTTTCGAGAGATATAGACGAGGTCGTAGCTAGCGCTATTGATCTTATTGCGAATCGATCAATACCGCTTATAGAGGCAGCGGATACGTTGAAGGTAATTCGCAACGAGCAGTTTACGATTCACCAGGAAAAGCTCGTGTTCCTTGACAGCAAGATCCGCCGCTCAAAGGCTGATCGAAAGGACGATGGTGATGACCTAGTCAATGGAAACAACAAAACATGGCCTCTTCGGTGGCGTCAAGAATGTGGTCCGCTCGATGACAAACACTTTGCTCATGTTGATTCGAAGTCACTTGACGAGTGGACAGCGCTTGTTTCAGCAGCACCTTTATATGCAAGCAGGGACGACTTCGACGACCGGAGTGGCACTTTCACGTACATGAGTGACGAGTGCAGCGGGAACGAAGATGTTTCTTTGCTCTCTACCGAGTTGACGCGTAACAGGAGCTCATCGTCAGGGTCCGTGAACGAGTTGTATGGTTTCCCAGCGGGAACGCAGACTAAGTCGAGTTTTAGTTTGTCCGAAGGAACAGATGTGATGATCGCTCTTGGCGATCTCTCTAAGCCAGGATCTGGCAATCAGAAGAGAAGGTTTGGTGGAGAGCAAACGACAGAACTGGATGGCATGGACGCCCGAGAGTTCTTTCTTTCTCCATCAACGAGCGAGATGCAGCACATGTTTGACCAACAGTCCGCCCTCTTACGCAGCGCATTAGAGGCGCACTCCACATTACAGCGGTCGTGGCTCATCAGTCAACAAGATATGCTGGGCGCCGGCGGGCGTGGAGGGTTTTCCGTTGGCGAAGGGCGGCTTGCTGCCGAACTGCGGCTAGCAAACAAGGTACGTAGGACCGGTTATTTATCAGCAGACGTGCGATGACTAAGTCGTTTTGTGGAGCAGAATTTGAGACAGCGACTTCGCAACAAGGACAAGTTAGTTGACCAGCTTACTTCGGACCACATGACACTTCGAGCGGAGGTGATCAATTTGCAGAGAGAACTGTCGCAAAGCAAGGTGAGGTAACAACAACGGGGCTTGAATGATGCATGATTAACAGTTGACTTTGATACGCAGGTTCATGCGCGAGAGCTAGAGGATCGTATCATCAACGCTCGAAGTACCATTGAAGGCCGGAGCGAAGGCTGTACCAATACCCGCGACACGTTGAACAAAAATGGTGCAGTTGCTACGTCAGATCGTGCCACTGACGCGGAGCACCTGCTGTAGAGGTCCAGCGCGAGGCCCATGATAATGATAGAACGGCACGGGCGTACGCTCTTCACAGGTGCATGCTCTTCGACGTCTGATTGTCCCGCATCGATGAAGGGCGCAACCAGCGCGAGGAGCCGTAGAGTCTGACTGAGTGAAGTAAACGGCGTGCAAATGCCATGTAAACAGCAGAACAATGCACGATGGTGTCGTGAGTAGCGCGGCAGTCTTTTGCTCTCGTTAATGATTGCTCTATTATGCTGGTAAGACAACAAAAATCTCGGCTCCAATTTAGAGAGTGCCCGAGTATCTGAACACAACTTCGTGGTCTATTGCAGACACCGTAGCGTTCCACAACTCTGAAGAGTAGATTGCTGGTTCTGACAACGGCATCAGAACAAGAGAGAAGCCATAAACGCCGAAGAAATATGCTCCGAGAAGCACTGTGCAGATGCCATACGTCAGTCCAGCGATATGACATACCATCTTCGGACGAAACGACGCACGCACGCACCGAATCGGTACGAATGCAATATGTTTTCTGGATTGAAAAAGGAAAGATCCGGGACGCCCATGACGTTGCAAAACACATGCACGAGGAACGTAGATGCGAAGTGTCCTATAAGCACGACATCACAAGGTGGCGAATCAGAACACAGGAAACTTGAGCAGCTATCATAGCAGCACGGATCAGTAGAAGAGAGATTCATGGAAATGCTCGACCGGACCTGTTCTCAGAAAGATGAATGTAGCATACGCTCCGAACAGGGAGGTGTAAACAAACTGGAAGCCTGCACAGAGTCATCATAGCTGCGTCAGACTACAAACAACAAGTTACCCATTCGTAGTAGTCCGTACCGACAGTCAACGCTGCATCTTTCGGTGACCGACCGTATCGCACATACTCCATAAAGTGGTGCAAGTGGGCTGATCATAAAACGCATCATCTGGCGGTTACAAACACATCATACACGCGTTCCGACCGAGTGGCGCTGCACTTTACGCACCTACTCCAAATATCACTGGACTACCGAAAACAATCTGCTTGGCCGTGAACTCCGCACACACAAGCAGCGGTACCATACAGCTTCGAAACACAAACTCTTCTGTCAACGGGCCCTTTGGTACATGTACAAAGTTAGTTTCTTCTCTTGGACCATTTCCTTCTTTATCTGACCGACACGTACCAGCACGTAAGTGCGCAGCGACGGTAGTCGATCATGTGTGATCGAATAATACAACGCCGAGTTTTTCAAGGCAAACCACCAGCCATGAGAGTGAAACTGCTTCGACACGTTCAGCAGATGCAGCGCATTTGCCAGCAGCGAGCCTGTGAACAGCACCGCTGTTGCAAGTAGCGGGACAAAGATCGCCTGCGCCAGCCCTTCCGAGCGGATGCCTAGCCACTGGGCAAAAGATATGCTAGATTCATCCTGACAAGCACGCAACCACAAAAGTTTCGGTCAATCTGCTGCGGCTCTCTCTCTCTCCTGCATCACACTCTGCCGAGGACAATCAATGCAACACGGACGTGATCGTAGAATACTGCCAGCACGAACGGGCAGATGCCGCAAAAGATGCAGATGAGCAGAAAGCGCGCCAGAATCTATTGCAGCAGCGACCAAACCCCCGGCGAAAGAGTTAGCGAGACGCGCAGACTCGTGGAACAGCAGGTGGAAGACGTACGTGCGTGGGGTGGTCACGAGGAAGGCGCCGAATTTCGTGTGGAAGTGTGTACAGCACGCCCACGTACGCCGTTGCCATACAGAAGCAGGCGATGACGGCCGTCGTAGCCGTCACGCTGAACCGCATCTTTGACGCTATTTCTCGGGTCGTCAAGGTAGTCGTGGGCTGAAAGTGGCACTTCGTGATTGGTCGGCTTCGAATCTGCGGTGGTGTTTTTGGATTGATTATCACTGGGGTCATCGGAGAATACTAATTACATGACAATTACGAACGTTTTCGTGGAAACGAAATTCTTTGCTCACCAAGCCGAAAACCATGTGCGAAAATAAAAGCTCAACACAGCCGGCACAAATGGCAATATATATTGGCATAAATGCCTACTACAATATTTTGCTGCAATATATTAGAGCCTTTTTCCGATGTATTGGGTCAAATGAGACAAATGAATTCGAAAAAGGGGTAAATCGGTTTCGTAGTGCCCAATAAATAAAAGCCTATTCTCAGCCAAGGAAGCACCGCAGACAAAGAAGAGCATGACGGACACTCAGATGACGGACGTGAACGACATACAGGAGACGGAGATCGAAGTCATTACAGCCGACGAGACTACACAGGAGTTTGAACTGGGCGAGGCGCCTCCAGGTGGGTCTGGCAATGGGTGTTCGCTGCAGCGGGCACTTGGACGAGCTGATAGCCATGTGAATATAACTATTAAACAGACGACGACGACGACGAGGACGCAATGGAAGACGTAGACGACAATGGAAAGATTTCGGCCGAAGACGCTGATGTGCGCGATGATGCCGACATGGTAGAGATCTGACAGACGTTGCATGGAGTGTCGGAGAGAATAGCGACTCACTTGGGTGGAACGTTGACGCAGGTGTTCACCGCCCACTCGGGGCCGGTCTACTCCATCAAGGTGAACCCAGTGGACTCAAGGATTGTCATCACCGGTGGAGGTGATGACGTCGGTGTGATTTGGAATCGAGAGAATGGCAACGTGTTGTACACGTTGTCGGGTCACCAGGACTCGGTCGTGAGTGTCGATTTCAGCTTTGACGGCAAATACGCGGCCACTGGTGGATACGACGGCGTTGTCAAGGTCTGGGAAGTAGCTACGGGGAACTTGGTACACACCCTCGAAGGCCCGTCACAAGAGGTCGAATGGGTCTGCTGGCACAAGAAAGGAAACGTGGTACTGGCCGGATCGAGTGACAGCACTGTGTGGATGTGGCTGGCGACGACCGGAGAGTGCATGCACGTGTTTGCCGGACATGAAGACGGTGTCACATGTGGCTCCTTCACAGGATCTGGAAAAGTGCGTCATACCGATATACGACTTGCTGGTGTTGCTATCTTAACTTTGGACATTTGTTTTGCGCGGCAGCTTATTGTGACTGGTAGTTCGGATACGACAGTGCGTGTCTGGAACCCAAAGACAGGCGAATGTAACCATGTGTTCCGAGGGTACGCGACTTCATCGATGTAGCACATCCATTGTCTAGGAGAATGATTCTGAGACGTGTTTGCACGACAGGCACGGCTTTCACGAAGGCCCGGTGACGTTCGTCACCTGTCATCCAAGCGTAAGTTGGGGACGAGCATGTTCCTTGTGAGCCGAGCCGAACTAACGACTGTCGTGATATGGTATATTTCTTAGCAACCCCTTGCAATATCTGGCTCTCAAGATGGCACTGCTCGTCTTATTCAGTTGCAAACGAAACGCGTCCTTGCAGCATTGTTGCACGATGGCGCTGCGTCGAGCGTTGTCGGGACTGTCAACGACGTTTCGAGTGCGACAGAAAACTCAGTTGAGTGGTATGTGCCGTTGTAACTTGTCTCGCTGTTTCCATGGATTCCGCTTCCGGCTGACACCATTGTTTCAATTACAGTGGAGGGTTCTGTCATTCGATGAACTGGGCTGCTACAGGATGTTTGGGTGGATACCTGCGCATTTGGGACCTGGTGACGTACCAGGTACTTACAAATGCTTTGACACATTTCTCAGCCCGCATTCCTGACCACTGCTTTGACCTGCTTTAGTGTCGCCATGTTTGCCGTCACCCTGCTGGAGTGATCAAACTCCTGTGGCATCCGTCGCGGCCAATCGTGTACACGTGCACGGTGGAAGGTCTGCTGTACGAATGGGACGCTCGGACAGGGCAGCTTCTGAAGTCGTTGGCGGGGCACACGGATATGATACTCGACGTGGCTTTGATCCCTGCCGTCAAAGGCGATTCTATTGCCAAGCTCCTTACTGCAAGCGACGACGAGTCCGTGCGACTCTTTCACGTAGACAATTAGGCCAAACTGGTAAACCCTCGTTTTGCAGCAAATTGCGACTTGTGTCTGGACGTCACGCTTGCATGTCATCGGGTAAGTCCAAAGTGCGCTAGCGTGCAAATGCTGTACCAGACGCATCGATTGCTCAAAATCATGTGTATGAATTGCAGATAGTGCAGATGTCTACTACGCGTGTGTAAAACTAATCGTGCTCTCGATTACATCGGCAGTGAGTTACGCCTCATACAATCTGCAAACCCAGTGACACACAAAAATGAGTGACATGCCCGCAAAAGCGCACGCACAAGAATCGATGGACGTACACTTCGTTCTGGAAACTTGAACCGCTCGCCGCAGCGTCGGCGTGCGACTGGTACTTTAGCACTTCATTCTTGCCAAAGTCGACAAGCGCCTGACGGAAGCTTCGTCCAATGGCCTTCTGGCGATCCTCAGCGTGGGCCGTTGCACTCCAAATGGCAATACGGTCCTGCGCCTTGCGCACACTTGCTACAGCGCCGCATACGTCATCTTCGTCCTGCAGTGTCTCGCCGATTAGCGAGAGCATCTGAAAAAAAGCACAGCCACCATCGTGAGTACCAGGCCAGCATCCACTTGCGTCTATTGCCATATGTCTGCAGCATGCATACCACGTAGAGCCAACACTCGTCTAGTCGCGCTTTTCGCGAGCGAGGGTTAGTGAAAATCCACTTGCCGCCCTTGGCGTTGATCGGGTCTTCCCACATCGGTCGGATTCCGTCCTTGAACAAATGGTAGTTGCTGCCTATCGAGAGCTTCGTGGGCGCCAAGATGTTGTTGTACAAACTGCCGACCACATCACGATTCAAAGCTCTCCGTCAGCACTCAGTATCAATAGCCATCCAAGCAACTGCAGGAGCTACATACCACCAGAAGTCCTCCACTGTGTTGAACGTATAGACATTTTTGAGGTTTTCCTCCCAACTCTCGGTCGAGTTGCGTTTCTTGGGATTGTCGTACCACAACACCCATCGGTTCTGCAGCGGGTGCTGCTCACGTACACACAAACAGGAGAACGCAGTCAGCTTCACCACCAACAGCGCGTTGACCACTCCATCACAAGCCCCACCTTTGTAGCCATGTCATTCACAGCGGCAGGAATGTCGACTGTCGTGTCCTTCACCGCCTTCTTGTCCTCTTGTGACGGATGCTGGGGATCCTCCACGTGCTTCTGCTCGCTCATACTGCTGTTGAAGCTCGACGTATGTGCTGGGCGGGAGGTACCTGGTGGTCGTCGTGCCGCTGCTGCTGCTACTGTTGCTGCTACGTGCGTTGATCTGGTGGTGACTGGTGTGCTCTCCCTCGCTCGGACTTGGTTGGCTCAAAGAAAATGGCACTAAAGTGCACAGTGACATCAACAATGGGCTGATGTCACTGTACCACGGGCAAAAATAACGACGACTCGCAAGCAGTCGATATTCACTATTCCACCACATGCTTTGCTTTGACGGTCTGCGTCAACTGCGTACTTTCAGATGTTCAGTGCCTCTAGAGTGCAAAGCTAGTCGCAGAAACGATCAAATGAAGAAATCAAGAGTGATGATGACTCAGGTGGCGGCGAAGGTGGGGCGAGGCATACACAAAAGCAGCTACAAGTTACAGTTTCATGAAACTCTTCACCGGATATTGAGCACATGGCGCCACTCTTCTTGCAGCAGAAAGAGGCTGGAGGGCGTAAAGATGTACTATTGATGACGAGGAGAGAGGCATGTGTACGGACCTAAGCCATAGACGCTAGTCACAGTGCATCGGTGCACACTCGAGCGCCAGTACCGATTCGAGACCGAAACGAAACGATCCTTCTTTATCAAAGCTACGACCTTTCTTGTGGCCATGCATTCGATGGGAAGCCATCTACCGGTCGAATCGAACATGTCAGACCGTCTGATCTCAGATCTCACTCACAAACTGAACCAGCTATCGCCAAACCAACCGGGAAACACAAGGCATTTTGGCAGCAATTTGTTCTGATCGCATTCGTTACGGACCCAAGACTGCAAAGTCGCACTAGATGCAGTAGCTCAGGAAATGCAGATTTGTGTAGCTTTGTTCTTCACGACAGATGGACTAGATGTTATTTTCTGCGCTAGAGTGAGACGATTTCCGATCATCTTCATCGAAGTGAGACTTTCGAGGCAGTAAGTCATAGTGTGCAGCGTCGCATTCTCGGTTGTGATTTTCGGATTGCAGTAGGCGTGTAATCAGAATCGCCATCGGAAGCATGTATCCCGTAGCCGGCTGACGCGCGTGTTGCAATAACAAGTCACACGATTGGAGAGACTGCGCCTACGACTTTTTTCGACGTGGGTAAGCACAGACGCATTGCGGCCAGGCTTTGTCTGCGATCAGTGGACAACTAGTCACTATCTCTTGAGGTCTCTTGAGGCGGTGAGCTGTTCTACAAAAGATCAGTCTCATAGACCCAGCAAGATTGTTCACCACCAAGCCTTGCTCAATGGATGTTATTCATCACCTTGGCTCATCAATAGTCTTGTGGAGGTATGTCTGAGACGGGAAAACTGCAAGCATACCGAGCAGCATCAAGATGGAGTGACTGATAAAGTCGTTGATTGAGTCGACATTCGTGGGTGTCTTGACCAACGTGTGTCTAGAAATCGACTGCTTTGGACGGATGCCTTGTCAAGCATCGACAAGTAAAACAGACGAAACTAGTGGCCTGCGTAAAACTGTAGTATGACCGTCTATCCTTCCGGCGGCGAATTGAGTGGAGCACTCTGATGAGTGGAGCGTATACCAACGATGTCAGGCAGCGGGATATTGCATTCTCTTTTATGTATCGTCGGAACTGTCTTCGGTGCCTTCTATCTCTTTTTGCATAATTTTGATGCGACGAAGAACACGTGCGGCATCCGACCGTCGATTTAACGCTAAGAGTTCTGCGATCAAGATGCGATCATCAGATATCCGGCTGCGTAGTCGTCCTACGTACGCGTCAAGCGTCAGCTTTCCAGTCTGCATCTCAATCTCAAGTAGTTGCTTTTTCAGCACTAGAGAATCACAACGATCACCCCACTCGACAGCATTACGTTCTGATGATGAAGGCAGTTTGGCTCCCACTCTGTCAAGCTACAACCATGAAGAGCAAACATCTTAGTTCCAATACACAAGGCGCTCGCTCGTGCAAATGCTCACCTCTTCGTCGATCACATCGTAACTGACGATCAGATCAAGATGGTGTGGGTCGTCTACCGGTATGGAAGCAGGGTTTGGTTGCCTCTGAGGCAGTGTACTTCGATGGTCGGTCGTTCGCTCCAGTCCCTTTGCGATAGGACCGGATGCCCCGACAGGAGATTGCTTTACTACCAAACTAGGCACGGGCACGCGTTCTGGGACCGGCGTTACTGGATCAGGGTAATCTCCGATGACCAAGTCCTCCACGGTCTCCAGACGAACTTCTTTTTCTTTCAATGGACGCCGCACTTGTAGTACAATCTGTTGTCCACAATTGCACAATTACGTCAGACCATTCGCAAGCCTCAACACGCATTGACGCAAAACATCATCACCTCAATGTCTCCTCCACAAGGCTTTCTACTTCGACCGAGAAAAGGAATATGAGTGTTGATTTCGCAGCATGTCAGCAGTGGAGTCTGAGGCAAAAGCACAGCGAGTGTAGCCCACACATGATGCGAGAGATTAGGAGATCAGCACTCACATAAAAGATCGCATTACGAAAACGTACCAATTCCTGATAGGCTCGAGCGACAAGTTCCGAGTTCCGGAACAGTGTTGCTAGACTCCAAACTTCGAAAACTGCCTTTTTGATTCCAAAGAGACGCATCGTCCCTCGCGACCGTGCCAATCGGAAGACAAAGCACTTTTGGTCCGAACAAACGTCGGCAGAAAACGAGGCCTTGGAGCTGATCCGGAACTCAGCAGTCTGCCCTTCGTGGGACTTTCCAGACGGAAAATTAAGGCAAAACTTGACAAAAACTGATTTACCCGCCGCCTGCGACAGCCCGTTCACACTCTTGATCGAGACCCTGATCTGATCTTCTGCAACAAACGGCAGCTCGAACTCCACTTCGCGAGACATTTTGACGACTTCATACCGCGGAGGTGGCTGCAGCGGATTTTGCCGCTTTAGTCGCAACTTCTCTAGCTCGGATTCATACCGCTTTCGCTACATACGAAACAATATAGAGCACCGCGGCTCTTGTAAGCTAAGTCAAACCCAAAACTGATCACAACATCGTTGCCCTACCTTGCTCAACCACTCTGAGGCCATATTGCGATTGGCGGGCAAACACCCTTTTGCCAATGACGTTGCCTTGTTGCCGAAATCTACCAGTAGTTGCTCAATCTCCTGAAATGCAGCAGCATGTACTTGGTTGTTTGGTACACTCATGGCAGGTGCATGTACCAAAGAAGCTTGCTGCTTGTGGTCAATGACATCCTGAATTTGTTTTGCTCTTCTCATCGCTTCAAGCGCGCCTTGAATGTCCCCCTTCCGCTTCGGCAACAACGCTGTTTGCCTAGCCTGCTGTAGCTGTGCAGGGGAGCCATCCGGATGACGACCACTGGACACTGTACGCGTATATTCTGCTGACAATGTGATACTTTTTCCTCCTGGCACGAAGGGAGCTGAGCGCAATGGGTTGCCCGACGTCACCGATGTAAGATGATTTGTTGCTTCACATTCGTACTTCTCATCGAATGCGTCGATCAAGTAGTTGTCATCAATCGATGGAGCAGTTCGCAAACATCGCGCGTCGGCAACAGCGGTCCGTATAACCATGTCTTCTTGCAACATATGGCTTTCTGTGAGCAAGGGCTTACTTGCTGAAGCGTCTTTGACCTCTGATGGAAGCGCCTCTGCCATACAAGTCGCTTGGCTTTTGGATAGAGAAGTGACTTTTGCATCATCCATGCTATCATTGCTGCTGCCTGGGTGCACTTCGTCAAGCGTTACGGTTTCTGAATCGACGCGCAAGACCGGAAAACTGTTGACTGAAGCAGAGGACTCTACTTGCCCCATATCACCCAATATTTCTCGTTTTTGTACTGCCGAGGGTGCAGCAGTTGAGAGCAATTGAGAGGATTGCAGCGCTTTGTAATTTGCTTCTAATTCTTTTATTTCGCGCATGCAAGCCAGCGCGTCTGCAATTCGGTTCTCCCGCTTTAGCCGTACAGCTTTCATTTTACAAGCATGAATCTGCGTCTCCAAAGCAGCCAATGTCTGACTCACATCACTATGATGCGCAGTTCTTTCATCAGTAGAAATGCCGGTGTCAGACGTAAGACCCATTTCCGCCAATTGAGCAAGGAACTCTGGATTCTGCATGTCTTCGTCCGTCACTTCGATATCATCATTCGACATGCTTTCTTCTAGCGGAAGATCTTCACATTGTACTTCTTCCTGCTTCGTTTCCGATGTTTGGTCTTCCTCTGCAGCGATCTTCTGTTGCAACTGGTTGGCCTCGCGTAACTTGGCCAGCGCCTGCTCGATCTTCCCTTCTCTTTTTAGCATGACCGCCTCCACCTTTAGTGATTTCAGCTTTGCATCGTCGTTCGATACCAGTGCAGCAGTGTGACCACGCGTTGCCTCTTGGGTCGTATCTGTAGCTTCTCGACTGTTCCTCTCTCTCGCAGTTTTGCAAACCTCGTCCATCACACTGCACAGCTCCTTCTTCTCCACTCGTCGACCGACTGGATCTCCATTGACATCGCAAGGCATTTCGTCGTCCATCTCTAAGGCTCTCATTATTTCGGCTTCTTCGTCCTCGTCTTCACTATCGCTTCCGAGCACAAGTCGCTCTTCGTCCGTGAGACTGGAGGCACCGGACAGGAAGGAAAGAGCCAGAAGCTCCGCCGCTACGTCTGCGTCGCTTACGACTGTGATTCCGAACTGCTTCTGAAGCTGCGCCAGGTCGTCCGTCTCCCCCACTGCTGCCTCCTTCGGGCGACTGCGACGCCAGAACATTGTGATGGCCGAAATTGCGAAGAGAATCAAAATGGGATCTGCTTAAAGCATCTGGCGACACAAAACACGGCTTGGGCTCAAGCTTAGGTTGCTGTACGTGCAACTTGCGAAAGTCTAGACCATATGATGGTGAGGCCGCTGCGTCCTCTCCGGTTGGCCCACATTTTTGTCAATAGCGACATGGCCGTCCACTGTTCAATTTTCATTACAGCAATTTAAATTACTTTGGAAGGATCCGACACGAATGCACTCAGCACAAGGAGAGCTGATCGATGCGTTTTCTCTGGCTACATTCTGTTCTTACAAGACATCGGTAGGACCCCACCACGTTGGTTAATGGGAATCGGTAGCACCCTTTTCCTTTGTCAGCGCTCAATGTTTGGTGGTGGTAAATGAATCGAGCCGTAAAGGCGATATCACATGTGCCTCTGCAGTTTGCCAGATATTTTTACTGCAACGTCGCAATGATGCCCGACATCTGCACCTTCATGAGTAACAACGTCAACCTCGATCCAGGAATATGTCAGCGCGCACAAGTGTCCGTTTTCTCGATCGAGACCACTTCCTACTCGGTCGAGCTTGTGTCTCACCGTGCGCTTCCTGCCTTCGAATCTTCTTGGTTGAACGTACGCAGTGAATCACTGTGGTCACATGCAAATAACAAATAGCACGCTAAACCCGTCTTTCCACACCTACCTGCACGAGCAGTTTCTGGTGAAGTCCTCTGGTGTTTGCGGGTATCCCGTGCATGATTCAGCAAACACGCGGGTGGTACCCACTTTACACGCTATCGTTGCCTAAACGATTCATGTTACCGCCACACATGACCACGGTTGCAACGTCATCAGGTCAAAGCTGCGGTATCGATTGCTGAAGTCGCGAGCGCTGTCACATTCAGAGCACAAGGTCATGTGGATCACGTCTGTATAAGCGATTCCTCTGTCTTTTGTCTTCGCGACAAGAGCGCCCAGCGACACTAACGTGGACATCATTCAGCTCGCCAGATCCGATCAAAACTACAGCGGGTCAATGACAAGCGTTTAGTCTTTTTCAGCAGTTGTAGCAGTAGGTGAAACTCCAAACTATTTTGGTCGTCTAGAGTGGAAGTGCTGGTCACAATTCGTGTCCGTAGGAGCTATCACTGTGCACTGGAGATAGCCCAGATCTGTCAGCGGGCTGCAACAGAACCGTATTTGGTCTTGTTGCCCCATCGCTGGCGTCGTATCGAGCATTTCACATGCTAGCATCAACCTTCGATGCCTTTATCCAGATTTGCTCGACTTCTCTGTGCTTGCTCCCACCGATGGCAGCAAACGCACCTACCCGTGCCGCTGCAGTCCTAACGGAGTCAATCCATTGCCAGCACTAATGCTAGTTACGGGTAACAAGCATGTTGGTACTTGGCAGCAGCGGCGCTGGGAGCAGACGACTCGCAAAGGCACCGATGTGTTGTTCGATAACATGCGCGACTCGTGAAGCATCCTGAAGTCCTCACTAGTTCGTGAGGCCAATCCCTTACACAGCTCGAATATCGGTTCGTGGGTTTGCTGGATGGTTCGACCTGTGTCGACAATACCACGGTCGTTATATCTGACGCTCATGACACGACGGATTGGCATTGACAATAAAGCATTTCGAATGTGGTACGCTGAGCACCTGGGATAGTACACATCCTGTTTGGAAAGAATGGTGCAGCATACACGTGTCTTGACTTAGAATGTAGTCCACGCCGGGCGGATACGCAACGTTTATTGCTTGTGCTATCTTGGTCTGAAGCGTTGTGAAGCTCCTGCCCCACTCTGACTGTGACGCTCTGGTAAGCCTCGTCTTGGGCTTACCAATCAGCGTGTGGGAAACGCTGCCCACTTTGCTAGGAAAAGCTGCGCTGCAAGTAGTGAGTTTAACGCCACGTCAATTAGTGTGTCGCTGACAGTGCTGAGTTGATCCTGCTCTTAGAATGAGAAGGATGCGTAGGATGACGCACGCAGCAACATCATATGGGACGCAAGTCCTGTCCAGGGGGTAAAGTGTGCAACTGATTTTACGCCCACGAAGTCGAAGGAAGCACTTCCACTTATCGTGATCGGTGGAGTCCAACATCAGCGCACAAACGGTAGGTGTAGCAAGTGACAATCTAGTGATGATCGGAGAACCTTGAAGAAGTGAATATGGACAATGCACAGCGATATCTAGCAGACACGAGGTTATCGACGATGTCCCGAGATCTTTGAGTATCCGTCTCTTTCACGTCACACGTCTGACGCCAACGGTCGATCTGCTGCGTGATAGGAATCCTTGACAAGCACAGTATGAGCATGCTAGAAGACGAATAGAGTGAAGCTCATGAGTACAATAGCCTGATCAGGGGACCCCTCGTACACGTAGCTTCACTCTGCACAGCTTCGGGACTGTTTCATTTTCATGTACTTGAGCACGTGGACATTTCCACAAAATAGCTCCAGGGACGGGCAAGCGTACCAATGCAAGTCAAACTACCATGTGGTGTAGAGCAACTGGAGGCGGTAAAACAATCGTACCATTCAGGCGCATCATCGATGCATACGGACAACACGCTGTTCGCCAAGAACAGGGCGCGCTTCAGGTCATCGAGGCAAGACCTCTTGCCCCAACTGAGCTCAGCGGATGATTTCTCGAGGTCCCGGCCGCGTCCGCGGGATCGAAACTCAGGAGGACGAATGCCGCGACGCGATCGCTCCCTCGATCGTGCCTCGCATGCATGACCAAGATGATATGAACGAACAGGGGTGAAGTTTACGGATTGTCTCACAAGGCGACAAAGTAGCTGTGTGATTCCGTGAAGTTATCAGACTTGGTAACAATGCACCAGTGGCAGCTAGAAACAATCAAGACACCGGCATCATCTACTATTACGACCTATGTTGCGCCACAAATGGTGCCCGCAAACAAACACTCGTCGAGCCCGTGTATTGAACCGTTCTTGGATGGATGGACTCTCAGCTCGTTCCAGCTAACCTTATGAATGATCGTTTGGAGCGTTAAGCCGCTGAAACGGATGCTGGGCAGGATGAACACATAGGTTGAATTTGAATGCCTTTGACATCAAACACGTCAGGTTCAGATAGTGTTTGATGTCGTCGATCCACAAAACGGCATACAGGATAACCAAACGGCTTATTGCCATTGTGTCTGGACGACGCTGCTGCTTAAGCAGAGCAGACTGCAACACGAAAACAAAAAGCTCAATCATCAAGACCCGATTCCGTCCACTTTTGACCTCCCTATCTCTCCCAATACATCATCATCAACCAGTTGCTCAGACGTTGCTTGACCTCATATTAGGAACTGTCCGACCGAGGCTGCTGCTACCTTGCCTCGACAACGAACACGTTCAAAACAACGGATTCAAAAATGAGATCTACATTACCTGTCTGTTCACTCATTCTGGTGAATCTTAGCAGCCAAGAAAAGCTTCTGAAAGGACTTCCCCGCGTAGCGGTTAATGTGCTCACAGTACGTGTTCATCTGCTTCGTGATAAGGAGCGACTCGAGACGCGAGGGCTGGTTCACCGACTTAAAAAAGTTGGGGTCTTCCTCAGGCACAAGCTTCTCACCGTTTTCCCGACGAATCTTGTTCTCCTCCCGCTGCCTGTTCTGCCACTGCTGATAGGCGGCGCGCTGCTTCGACAATGCCCGCTCAAATCCTTGGAATTTGTAATGTTCCTGCGCGAGCTCGTCGGCCCAAAGCGTCATGTTCTTCAGACTGTTCTCCAGATAGGCGTTAGTCGCCAAATCGAGACGCTCAAAGCTACTGCCCGACACGCTGTCTTTGGTCTGTTCCAGCCAGCACGTGATAATGTCTGCGTTGCGAATCTCGATGGGAATCTCCTCGACTATCGTAGCTGAGCGGATGTCTGTCTTTGCAAAGCTCTCCTTGGTAAAAGCGCCACTCTTGTAAGTGTCCACAAACGCCTTAGTAAGGCGCACGGCGTGGAGACTAAGCGAGCCTTTCGACGTCTCGGCAGAGTCGTAAATGAGACAGATGGCGTTCGGACCCAGCGACTTCTGGTACTGGTACTGGTGCTCGATAAACGACGCCGTGCAAAAGGTGCCCATGGCCACCGACTGGTACCAACCCACCTTGTTGTTGTCCATGCCCACCTCGCGAAGACTCTTCATCATGTCCAGCTCGTACTCGTTCGTGCCCTTTTTGCGCTCGCTGCTAGGCAGCGACGGAAAGCTGTTGGTCACTTCCAGCACCTGCTCATTGTCCATGCCCAGTAGCGATCCAGCCACACCACCTGGCGGGCTTCCGTGGCAGTGCTTGATGATCTGCAGCAGCGCAACTCCCTCCAGCGCCACCCTCGTGACAGGGTTCACACCCTCAAAGATGTCAATGGCTTCGAAGGACTCGAGCACCGGTGCAAGCGCTCGCGCAGGGGCAGACAAGCCAGACGCGTCAGTCGTCGAGGCAACGGTAGCAGTTGCAGCAGGCGCCAGCGTTGGCGTCGTATCCGCGAGACCCCACGCCATAGTCGATGGTGCTTCCGGAATAGATCCCCCCTATCGGACGACTGGCTGGCTACTGGCGGGGCACGAGGGTGGAGGGTTTAAGCCAATTATAACGAGGTAGCGCAGTCCGTGCGCGAATCACAATTGACCGTGAGGCTAACATCGATGATTGGACGAAATGACGAGACCAGAAGGCGTGTGCTTTTGGTTGGTGGAGACTGCCGCATCAGCATTGAACAGGAACAAGTGGCCGACTTGACACAAGCGAAGGGAGTGCTCAGTCACGATGCCCAAGTCCAAGCGACAGCGCACGAAGACGCTCACGCAGGCAAACAAGAAGGGCAATGAGCTGAAGAAGAACGTGGTGGAGGCCATTCGTAATGCCGTGGACACGTACGAGTCCGCGTACGTCTTCAGCTTCCAGAACATGCGCACCAGCCATTTCAAGGACGTGCGCATGGACTTCAAAGACAGCCGCTTCTTTCTCGGCAAGAACAAAGTCATGAAGCTTGCACTCGGGCGCTCGAAGGAGGACGAGTACGCCGAGAACCTCTGTCGCCTTTCGAAGGACGTTAGCGGCAACACCGGTCTTCTGTTTACCAGCAAGCCACGCGACGAGGTGATGGACTACTTTGCCAAGCTCTCGGTGAGCGACTACCCGCGTGCTGGTTTTGTGGCCACTGAGACGATCACAGTCTCCGAGGGACCGCTGCCGCAATTCATTGGCAGCATGCTGGAATCGCTGCGTGGCCTGGGACTTCCTGTGGACTTGAAGAATGGCGTCGTGGTGCTGAGCCGGAACTACACCATTTGCAAGTCTGGACAAGCGCTGACTCCGGAGCAGGCCAAGCTGCTTGTGCACTTCGATCACAAGATGGCCGAGTTCAAGCTCGTGATGCTGAGCGTGTGGTCCAAGGACAAGTACCAGCAACTCGCGACTGATGTGGCCGTGACCTCTGGTGAAGACGATATGGAAGACGAAGATATGTAAATTGAGAACAAAGATGCGCTGATTCTTATGTCTATGCTCAAACGGATCCGACTTGCATGCTGATGGGCGTCTTTTGGCGCAGCCTGGTACCTATCGGTATACGCTTCTTGCATCGAGTAGGTTATAACGTAGCAAGTTAGGCAGTCGGTCTGATCGATTGCATCACAGAGGTAGGCAGGAACATGCCAATGCAACCGATGTTGCATCAACAGGTTCAGTGCAACTCGTTATAGCTTGGTCAGCTGCTCGTCGCTCTTGCCGTTGCCGTATTTCTCGACACTGTGCCGCAATCGCAGAATGACGGCCTTCGTGTCTACAGCCTTGAACACCGAGCTTCCAGCGACGATCATGTTGGCACCCGCCTTGGCTGCTGCATCAATCGTCGAGGGACCCAAACCACCATCTACTTCAATATCCAGCGCCGGATACTTTGTGCGGATCGTCTCCACTTTCGGCATCATGTCGGCCATAAAACTCTGTCCACCGAAGCCTGGCTCCACCGTCATGACCAGCACCATGTCCACGAGCTCGACGTATGGAAACGCAGCTTCGGCACTTGTGCCCGGTTTAATGGCCAGTCCGACCTTCATGCCAGCGCTACGAATCTGCTTGATGAGGGCCTGCGGGTCCTGAGTCGCTTCCAGGTGGAAGGTGAACTGATCACCGCCAGCCGCTGCAACGTCGGGTACCCACTGCTCTGGCTTCGACACCATCATATGGCAGTCGAAAAAGGCCGTTGTGTGCGGCCGAAGCGATTTGATGACAGGAGGACCCCACGAAATGTTAGGTACGAAGTGGCCGTCCATCACGTCCAGATGCAGGTAGTCGGCACCCGCCGCTACGACTTTCAGGGACTCGTCCTTGAGACGCGAGAGGTCCGAGGCCAAGAGCGACGGGCCGATCTTGCACGTGCAGCTGTGGCACATGATCGCGGGGTACGAAAAGCAGCTTGGAGGAGTGAAGACGCTGCGACTGGCGCGGGCCACGCAGTAAGATGGACAAAGGATCGATGAGTGGCCGCGGAACGTGATGGCTACACACGAACGTCTTGTAGAAATCTGGACAAAAAAGTACTTTTCAGCCGAGTTCGGCTGTCTTGGAGGTCCGCACCGAGTTTTATCCAATCACAACAGCGAGAGAGACGCGCCGCACAGTTGGCCACACACCAAGAAAGCGAGTGGCACAGCTCGATGGCGACTTCGCAGCACCTGGCCGACCTGAGCCGCAAGATCTTCCAGCGCCTACCGCAGCGCCACACGCCGTCCGGCAACAAGGTCATCAGCAAGCAGCTCAGGGGCGACAAGGTGGCGTCCTGGTTCAACAAGCCTCTGTTGCTGCGTCTCGGCGGGGACGACCCCAACTATGAGATTTTGCGAGACGAGCGACTTGCCAAACTCGACCAGATGAAGCGACGGGGCAAGTCGATTCCCAAGAAAGGCGCAGGCAAGCGGTCGAAGAAGTAGGAAGGCAGAAGCTCTGGTCCCGCAACAGCGAAGACGTCGCGGCGCCGTCTTGTTCAAAGCACTGGTGCTCTTACAGACAAGCGTGGAGAGACCGCGGATCATTGCAGTGGCACGACGTGTCTCCGTTAGCTGTAGCCTGCAATTCAGTCTGCAAGAGACAGCTGTACCGCCACGAGAGTAAAGTTGAGTCTTGTCTTTGATTGTTTTGCGGTTGAAAAGGTCAGCATCCTCTTCCTCCATCGACAGTGCATTAGATTTGCACCGATCGTAAGCAGCCTCGACAACATTGTTGTCAAAGGCGTTCGACGACGGTCCTTGATGCTTTCGTAAGTACGATTGTACCACAAATGTACCGCTGTCTGCGGTGACCACCCGTCACTATGTGCAGTTCGCTGCTGGCCAAGCGACAGAAAGACTCGAAGAGTGTGCGTCAGTCAGTAGCAGGACGGGCAGCAAACATGGGCGCGAACGGCCAAGCAGTGCAGACGATGAACAAGAAGAAGGTGAAACTCCTGCAGAAGAAGCGCGCGAAGATCCGCAACCAGAAAAAAGTGGGGCTGCTGGAAAAGGGAAAGCACACGGTCTTGCGCAAACACCGGCAGTCGAAGAAGAAGGAGCAGAAGGACGCCAAGCGCCACCGCATCTACGTGGAAGCGGAGAAGAAAAAGCTGCTCGATAGTGGGCTGGTCACCAACGAAGACATTGCAACGATGGAGTCGGAAACGGCGCAAGGCGACGCCAGTAGCGAGACGGCTGCGATGGACGTGGAGGAAGACGAGGAGTAACCTGTAAATACTTTGCTATATAATGTCGTTTACAGCTTGGGCCTTGCAGTGGTGGTTGGAAGCAGACGAGGCGCTGGCCGGCTACTTGTGCGTGCATGGAGTGCGTACTCGAGCACACCACATGTTAGCATGTGTGTAGTAAATGGGATGCGTCATGGTGGAGCAGATACCCAAGTGTGGGCTGGCTGGGTGCACGAAAACATGCTCACTCGTATCGATACCGTACCAGGCACACTGTTACCGGCAATGTCTATCTCCTAGAATCATCGTTTCTTCGATGTTGTTATCTGGCTTCACGCATGTACCGTTGACGGTACAAGACCTAGTGCGAGGCTGTGCTCTCAAGTGCTACCGACTCGGCAAACGGAAAGGTTCGTATGATAAAGAAGAGGTCATAGTAAAGATTAGGAGTAGTCCGTCAACTATCGGTTACTTCTTGCGAGCTCTGCCACGGATCTAGCAGATGATGCATGCACTGCGAGACTTCGACGGTAGCATGTAACGGGGCAGCCCGTTACATGGAAATTGTCATTTGAAGAGATAATGACAATAAAGAATATGAAGTTGAATATTCTTTAAACAATATCACCAATAGTGGTGATATTGGTGAAGCGACCAAAGGGTCTGTTCATTGGTTGATATCTTGATAATATCAACCCACCAATCGCCGCAAGACGCGCGCAATGAGTGGTGACGAGACGTCACCATACACTCAGTTATATTAACATAATTAAGTCAGGTTAAACAGAGAGACGGTAGCAAAAAGACTTAATTATATTAATACAACAGTTTTACTTTTTCCTTATCCTACGCTTCCTCGTTCGCCTCGTGTACGTCTGTCGGGGCACCAAAAACCCTTGCGTTAAGTTCGCGCAAGGGTGTGCCCCGTAACACCTGGTAGCACTTTGTAGTCCTTCCAAGGACCGCAGCATCCAACATGAACATGGTGGATGACGAAGAAACCTTTCACGCCACGCGTGAAGGGTTTACCCATTTGAGTGACATCGAATGGGGTGCGGTAGAACGAATGAGTTCTACCGTGGGCGAGTTCTCCATTAGCGCCATGTTGGAGTCTCTAGACAGAGACCAACAACATGCCGCTATAGCCAAGTTTATGCAACATGAACTTGTCGCCGAAAGGGAGAAAGTAGCCTTGCTTCACCAGCAAGGCTCTCAACAGGCCGAGCAGTTGAGAGAACTAGGTGCTCAACAGACAGAGCTGTTGAGACAGCAGCAATTCCATGCTGCTGTGGGCGGTACGGCGCATGCGCGTCGTCCCGAGGTCATGAAAGTTGACATCTCCAAGTACAGTGGAGTCCCGGAAGACTCCCTGTTAATGTGGTTTGTCGAACTCGACAGAGCCCTAAGGGCTCGTCGCGTCGAAGATGAGCAAATGAAACTCACATTTGCTCAGACCCACTTGGCAGGGAGTGCCAAAACTTGGTCCCTGGGGCTCGAGAGTAGCGACCCAAATGTGTTTAGGTCGCTAGATGACTTCAAGTCCCGGCTCAGACAAACGTTTGAGCCGCCACGGGCTGAGTTCAGGGCTCGTTCAGAGCTCGTTCAGAGCTCAAGCAGGATAAGCGTGATGTGCACGCTTACGCACAGCATATACGACTCCTCGCGAGTAGTATGACTGCTAACCCAGTCCATGAACACACGTTGATTACGGTGTTCATGCAAGGGCTCGCAGAAGGGCCCGTCAGGAGCCACCTGTTCCGCCTTGAGCTGAATACGCTGGAAGATGCGATATCAGCCGCGGAACAGGAAGACTTTAGCATGAGACAGGCTCATGCTAGCTCAAACTCTTATCGTCCACCAAGACGACAAAAGATCGGAGGTCCAGAACCAATTGACCTCTGTTATGTTGAGAGCGAGAGACCTCGCTCTTCAAACAACAAGCGATTGCAGAGATGCAATCACTGTCAGAAGATAGGGCACTTCGCATACGAGTGTAGTGCTCCACGCCCAGGACCAAACAGTACAGAGCGAAATGGACGACCATTTGCCAGAAAGGGCAATGGGCGTGGGTCCAGAGCTGTTGCGAAGCCGCAACAGCGAGACGGACCATCAAAAAATGGTCGGGGTCAGTAGGGGCAGAGCGCCCTACTGGTCCAGCAACCTCAAGAGAATTTTCAAATCTCTTGACGAAAGTTGCTCCAGATACACAATCATTGTGTGTCTCTGCACCTGGTGATGACGTTTCGCTCATCACCTTGAAGTTGGAAGCGACAAATGATTTGTCACTTCGTGCCCTAGTAGAATGTGGGGCGTCGAACAACTTTGTTCGACGCCAGTCACTAGAGGGTCGTCGGGTAAAGTTCGTTGAGCGCGACATTCCCCTCACGAGAATGACGGTGCGCCTTGCAACAGGCGCATCGATTACCGTTGAGAAACGTGTAGTAGGAATCCACTACACGTTGGAGGGCGAACAGTGCGATGATGACTTTATCGTACTAGATATGGATGACAAAATTGATGCCATCCTGGGATTACCTTGTCTCAGAAAGTACGAGCCAAGGGTGAGCTGGCAGCATCGATCCATGAAGATGCCTGCCACATGTTCATCAGATGACCATCTGATGAACATCTTGGAGCGTCCACAAGCGTGTGGATGTTCTGCGAGTGAGTGTTATGGCCTCACTTGCGGTACGGTCGCTTGCACGACTGCACAGGATCACAGTGTAGTTGATAACTACACTGTGGAGCAAGCTCCCGGCGGCTGTACAGAAGTACAGGCGGCGCCGAAGGTCCACCACTCGAATAAGTCGAGTGGACCGGGACATGGATGCATGCCTAGCGGACAGCATCTTAGACAGAAGAAACCTGTTGCCCCCAAAGGGCAACGTGGAAATCCTAGGTCGACTGGAGAGTCGACCGTAGAGGATCGGTCCCTGACTGTGGTTGCACAGCCACAGTCGAAAGACGTCGAGGGAATAAGTCATCACGTACTTGAGGAAGGAATTACTCAAGAGTCACTTGCTGAAGTATTAGGCCTTCAGCAACCTGTGGAAAGAAGCTCCCAGGAAGTAACCGAGACGTTGAACGTCTTGGTTAGTGACGGATCAAGCGTAGGCGCTTGTACGCTTGATCGGATTGTGCCTCCGAAGTTAACTTCGGAGATAACTCAGTTGCCAACGCTAGAACCGAAACGGTTCTTGCGCGATCTGCGTAGTGGCAAAGTCAAGCAAATCTGCATACTCGTTACAGAGGATGAGTATGTGGCTGATATTCGGTCGGCAACAGTATTTGCTGAGAACGAACGGGTTTATAGCAACTCATCGATCGACGAAAGTGTCCTCGATGAGAAGACTCGGATTGAGCGATACACGTCTCAATCCTGGGAGTCACTTCAGGCAAATCCTTTGTACAAGGATTTGATCGAATTCAGTGATGTGTTCCCTGAATCCGTACCTTGCGAGTTGCCTAGGGACAAAGGCACTCGACACGAGATCGAGCTCAGACCGGGCTCGAAGTACTGTGTCATTAAGAAGTGGCCACTGCCTCGTGAACAATTACTAACGATCGACAAGTTCTTTGCAGATCGCTTAGAAGCGGGCCATGTGAGGGAATCAACATCCCCTCTCAGCTCTCCGACCTTCTGTGTGCGAAAGGCCACAGGAGGGTGGCGGATAGTGCACGCATTCAACAAATTGAATGCTGCAACGGTATCGACTTGGACGCCGATGCCGAGGAAGGACGTAATCATAGATGGTATGTCAAAGAGAACCATATTTTCGTCCATGGATCTGATGGATGGATTCTATCAGATCCTCATGCGTGAACGGGACGTCCCGTTCACGGCAGTGAGTACCCCCAGCGGGATGCTGTGGGAGTGGCTAGTGATGCCACAGGGGTTGAGCAATGCCCCTGCTACTTTCAACATATGTGTATCAAATCTGTTGAGATCGGTGCGAGACTTCGCACCGAGTTACTTCGACGATGTGCTCGTCCATAGCCGGGCTTTGGACGGAAAGACGGACGTTGAAGTTCATTGAACTCACGTTCGTCAGGTTCTTCAACTTATGCGCAAGCATAAGTTGTACGCCAACCTCAAGAAGTGTATATTCGCGGCTAGCGAAATACCACTTCTTGGGTGCATCGTGGGTAAACACGGCGTACGCTCTGATCCCGAAAAGATCAAGGCGATCACCGACTGGCCGGTGCCAGTCGATGTCAAGGGACTAAGGAAGTTCCTTGGCCTAGCGGCGTACTTGCACAAGTACTCGCGCAACTACGCCGAGATGACTGTTCATCTTTCTTGCTTGCTCAAGAAAAATGTGAAGTGGTCATGGAACGATGAGTGCCAGCGTTCCTTTGAGGGTATCAAGCAAAGCTTGATGCAATCGCCAATCTTGGCGATTGCAGATCAGGACAGACCATTGTATGTGGTCTGTGACGCCAGCGATTTTGCAATCGGCTGTGCGTTAATGCAGTTCGACGCAGATGGCGCGGAGCGCGTCATCTATTATCAGTCGGGTCAGCTGCAAGCAGCTGAGCGCAATTACCCAGTGCATGAAAAGGAACTCCTTGTCATGAAATATGCACTGGCTAAGTTTCGCGTCTATCTCTTGGGAGATAGACCGTTTGTTGTCTATACGGACCATGCGTCACTACGCACGGCCGTAAATAGCCCACACCTCTCGGAAATGATGGCGAGGTGGCTGTCTTTCTTCGCGGAGTATAACTTCTCCGTGGAGTATAAACCAGGACGACTCAATGACGTCGCTGATGCGCTTTCTCGCCGGCCCGATTTCGAGCCGGACGTACAATTCAACAGTGAGGATAAGCACACTGTTGCGACACTGTCAGTCAGTGTCCCGTCTTCAAGTTTACTTGACGACGTACGAAAGGCATACGCGGAAGATAAGGATCTTCTGCGATTGATGGATCATCTGGTGAATCCATCCAGTAAATTCATGAGGGATTTACCGGCTTTGTACCGATCCTCATCGGATTGGTATAGTACACGCAATGGATTGCTGTACTATACAGCTGTT